CATCACCTACATGTAATCCTAACATCTCTAATTAAAAAAAAAAAAAAAATTCTCACTCCCACATTCTCTATCACTCTCTTCCTCTCTTCCTCTCTTCTTCTATTTCAAAAACAAAAATAAAAAATTGTGCGTGTGCCCATATGCTAGTTAAAGTGAAGCAAATAGGCCATTAAAGAAATACAAACTTTTGATTTTATGTTTCATTTTCTTTATGAGATTTGTATTGGGAAAATGAGTTAATTATAAAATGCATTTGTTTGGACCCAAATTTACACCATCGGCCTGTGTAATCAAGGCCGTTGAGTAAGCATATTTTTCAATCGTCGGATAGAAAAGTGAAGATATTTTTGTTAAAGGATAATATTATGGTTTTTGTCATAGTAATTATTTTGTAATTTGGATTATCTTAGCATTATATCTACGAACAAGTACAATTCGAGTGAACTTGGGATTATTGCTATTAGATTGGAGAAACTTGGTAGATGAGGTTTGAAAAGTCATGGTGCATGCATGGATGGATTATGGAGAAGTCTAGATAGGCTTGGTTTTTTATGGTGATGTGATAAGTCTAAGATTTAATAGTCTTGGATAACGATGACAAGCCTAGATAGGCTAGGCTATGGTGATAAGACTTTTATTTGGATAGGCTTTTGTGAAGTTTGGAAAATCGTGAACATCTATCTGAAGGATATGGTAGTTCTTTGATGTGGATTAGTTTTTGTTCCGTGGAAAAGAATTGCAGTTGGACTCTACAAGCACCATCAGGTTGTGCCAGGTAGATATCCAACGCTATAAATACATGAAGGCTGTGCAACGTTGAGGGACTCCAGTTCAACACACAAACTGCCATGCGCAAACCCTCGCTCTACGCAAAACCTCCAAACATCTTGAGATTTTTTATTTTCTTTTTCGCCAACACATTTTAGTTTGGATAAACAACACTGTGAAGGGAACCGGTGAACATCTTCAGTTTGGATAAACAGTACTGTTGCCTTAGAATCAGCCGACCATGGAGCACATTCAGTTTGGATAAACAGCACTGCGTCAAGGTCGACTGGTTATCTATCCAAGTCTCGGTCGAGAAGAATTTTTGAATCCTTATTGGCAGAGGTCATCTCATTAGCCTTTTCGGCGAAGTGAGGTGTTACAAGTTATTACATTCGACACATTGAAAGCCGAATTTGATATTGAACTTCGTAGAACTAGCAGCTTTGTCTTCAGGCTCTAGAACCCGAAGGCCGAGAGTGTTCATTTCTCGGCCACAGTCGCGAGATTCAGAAGTCAGCAGCGCACCCAACGCAACATCAACAAATTTTACTCCTCGGTCGAGCTTGGTCGACGAGTTGGCACACCCGCATACAACCAAAAGACGTAGTTAGCTAATTAGTTACTCGACCTGCGCGCCACATAGGCTTGGTAGTTTTTAAGGTCAACAACATTACAAAAATAAAAATCCTAAAACGAAAATAAAAATAAAGTACGGGGTGGAATATGCATGCTGATATGGACATGAGGTTAAGGAATTTAATTTAATTTTTAATCTTAGTTAAGGTATTAATCTAAAAGTAATCTTGTCCAACGATTTTAGAGCAAAGATTATTTTGATTCGCTCGTTGTCCCTATTTAAAGCTCAACCGGTGCACTTTTGTTCAAAAAAAAAAAAAAAAAACCCCAACCGGTGCACTAAGGGCTAAAGCCATCACTCTCCTTCTACCATGAGCTCACAGCCACATGCTGCCATACTTTGCAGCCCAGGCCTCGGCCACCTTATTCTCGCCTTCGAACTCGCAAACGACTTGTCACCCACCGGAATTTCACCGTGACGATCTTCGCCATCCCATCTCCTACTTCCAAGACTGAGTCTGAGCTTCTCAAGGCAGCCGCCACCCCCAAATTTTTTGACATTATTGAACTCCCACCGCCCGACATTTCCGGCTGTGTTGGCCCCGATGCTGCTGTCGCTACCCTCCTTGCAGTCATGATGCGTGAAGCACGACATGCGTTTCTGTCAGCCATACTTGGAATAGAGTTTTCTTTTCGTCCTATAGTGCTTATCGTGGACCTCTTCAGCACCGAATCTCTGTCTATCGACGACGAGCTTGGGATTCCTAAGTACGTTTACATTGCTAGCACTGCATGGTTCATAGCCTTGACTGTCTACATGCCAGTTTTTGATAAAGAAGTGGAAGGAGAGTACGTGGACTAGACTGAACCACTGAGAATTCCGGGTTGCAAGCCCGTTCAGCCTGAAGACGTGGTTGACCCGATGCTGGACCAGATTGACCAACAATATTTGGAATATGTAAGGATAGGAACTAATTTCTCGAAGAGTGATGGGATTTTGATGAACAGATGGGAAGACTTGGAGCACAAAACAATAGATGCGTTACGGGATGAGGGACTCTTGGGCAGAGTGGCTAAGGTGCCAGTTTATCCCATTGGACCATTGACGAGGCAGGTCCAATCAGCCGGTTCAACCTCAACCAGTATAAGGGATGAGGGCTTGTTTAATTGGCTAGACAAGCAACCTTGTGAATTTGTGATATTTGTGTCATTAGGGAGTGGAGGGACTGTGTCCTTGGAGCAGATGACAGAAATGGCTTGGGGTTTGGAATTGAGTCAACAAAGATTCATTTGGGTTGTACGACCACCGGCTAGATCCGCAGATGCTGATTTTTTCACTTCAGGTAATTTTCAAACTTACCTAATATATATCATCAATTTTTAATTGTTATCTTCATAGAAATTCTTATATATGTAATGTACTAATTTGTAGTATTTGATAAATTATTGATATTGTGTTACAATCGATACCTTCACTTACATTTAGTAACTTTATTTAAGGAAATCAAGACGATGACCCATCAACCTATTTGCCCAAAGGATTCTTGACCCGGACTCATGACGTTGGGTTGGTTGTGCCTCTTTGGGTGTCTCAAGTGGACATTTTAAGTAATCCATCAATAGGAGGATTTTGGTCGCACTGTGGATGGAACTCAAGCCTCGAGAGCATCACCAATGGGGTACCGATGATGGTTTGGCCACTCTATGGGGAGCAGAGGATGAACGCTACACTGTTGACTGAGGAGCTTGGTGTTGCTGTCAGATCAAAAGTGCTACCATCGAAGAAAGTGGTTGGCAGAGAAGAGATAAAGGAAATGGTGAGAAAGATCATGGTGGACAAAGATGGTCAGGCAATAAGAGGTAGGGTTAATGGGCTTAAATTAAGTGCTGCAAAAGCATGGAGTGTAGGTGGTTCGTCATATAATGCACTGTCTCAAATATCAAGTGGCAATGAAAGAAAATGCTAGGAGAGTTGGAGAATGTGAAGGCTCTCAAATATGCTTGTTGTTTTCAATAGGAATTTTAACCTAAATGATCTTGAGAATTGTCTTAACTTCTCAGTTTAGTCCTTAACAATAAAAATGAACAAACTTTATTAGTGACCAAATTGAGGAGTTAGGTCAATCTCAACAACCATTTTAGTTAAAAATCTGTTTGAATATTGTATGATGATGTACAAACATCAATAAGATTATGGATTCAATTTCATTCCAACATTTCTCATATTTACTCATATGTAAGAAATTAAAAGAAAATATGAAATTAAATTAACCAGAAGAAAATTATTGATCTGATTGTCATAGTTTTATTTCTCGGTAACATATCATAGAAAGATATTTTAAGAGGAATGAAAGAGATAAATATGATTGTACCTATCACTGATGCCGATCCTTCAGTAGCATTTCATATGAATACGCCTCTTGAAATAATACGCAATCAACGACACCCAGAAAGCTCCCCTACAGAAAAGTATTTGTCACCTCTTCAAATAAAGATAAAAATTGCCACGAGACTTGGCTTTCCTTGCCAGTTAATATCTGTCATCTTTGAGCGGTGGCCATATAGAGCAAGAGGGGCGGTCGTCCTTTCGGTCGTAAAAAAGATTCATGAAACATTAAGAATTTGTCCCTTAAAATTTGCACCGAAGGTATTTGACAAAATGTTTAAATGAAATTCAAGTGTGTTACCGTCGCTGTCGCTATACTGCACTTAGCTCTATGTGAGAGGGCAAATTTATATTTTCTTTTAAATTATTGGTGATTGCAACCTAGATCATCTTTACTAATTAATAAAACATTCATTGTCAACCAAAATCCTATGAAATTATCAGTTTAACACTTTAATTAAAACAAAATATGAATAAGAAATATGAGGCAAAAATGAAATTTCACAAAACCAAATTTTGTTGTTTTTTTTCAAAACATCACCTACATGTAATCCTAACATCTCTAATTAAAAAAAAAAAAAAATTCTCACTCCCACATTCTCTATCACTCTCTTCCTCTCTTCCTCTCTTCTTCTATTTCAAAAACAAAAATAAAAAATTGTGCGTGTGCCCATATGCTAGTTAAAGTGAAGCAAATAGGCCATTAAAGAAATACAAACTTTTGATTTTATGTTTCATTTTCTTTATGAGATTTGTATTGGGAAAATGAGTTAATTATAAAATGCATTTGTTTGGACCCAAATTTACACCATCGGCCTGTGTAATCAAGGCCGTTGAGTAAGCATATTTTTCAATCGTCGGATAGAAAAGTGAAGATATTTTTGTTAAAGGATAATATTATGGTTTTTGTCATAGTAATTATTTTGTAATTTGGATTATCTTAGCATTATATCTACGAACAAGTACAATTCGAGTGAACTTGGGATTATTGCTATTAGATTGGAGAAACTTGGTAGATGAGGTTTGAAAAGTCATGGTGCATGCATGGATGGATTATGGAGAAGTCTAGATAGGCTTGGTTTTTTATGGTGATGTGATAAGTCTAAGATTTAATAGTCTTGGATAACGATGACAAGCCTAGATAGGCTAGGCTATGGTGATAAGACTTTTATTTGGATAGGCTTTTGTGAAGTTTGGAAAATCGTGAACATCTATTTGAAGGATATGGTAGTTCTTTGATGTGGATTAGTTTTTGTTCCGTGGAAAAGAATTGCAATTGGACTCTACAAGCACCATCAGGTTGTGCCAGGTAGATATCCAACGTTATAAATACATGAAGGCTGTGCAACATTAAGGGACTCCAGTTCAACACACAAACTGCCATGCGCAATTGTTCAAAAAAAAAAAAAAAACCCCAACTGGTGCACTAAGGGCTAAAGCCATCGCTCTCCGTCTACCATGAGTTCACAGCCACATGCTGCCATACTTTGCAGCCCAGGCCTCGGCCACCTTATCCCCGCCTTCGAACTCGCAAAACGACTTGTCACCCACCGGAATTTCACCGTGACGATCTTCGCCATCCCATCTCCTACTTCCAAGACTGAGTCTGAGCTCCTCAAGGCAGCCGCCACCCCTAAATTTTTTGACATTATTGAACTCCCACCGCCCGACATTTCCGGCTGTGTTGGCCCCGATGCTGCTGTCACTACCCTCCTTGCTGTCATGATGCGTGAAGCACGACCTGCGTTTCGGTCAGCCATACTTGGAATGGAGTCTTCTCTTCGTCCTACAGTGCTTATCGTTGACCTCTTCAGCACCGAATCTCTGTCCATTGGCGACGAGCTGGGGATTCCTAAGTACGTTTACATTGCTAGCACTGCATGGTTCGTAGCCTTGACTGTCTACGTGCCAGTTTTTGATAAAGAAGTGGAAGGAGAGTATGTGGACCAGACTGAACCGCTGAGAATTCCGGGTTGCAAGCCCGTTCAGCCCGAAGACGTGGTTGACCCGATGCTGGACCGGATTGACCAACAATATTTGGAATATGTAAGGATAGATACTAATTTCCCGAAGAGTGATGGGATTTTGATGAACACATGGGAAGACTTGGAGCACAAAACAATAGATGCGTTACGGGATGAGGGACTCTTGGGCAGAGTGGTTAAGGTGCCAGTTTATCCCATTGGACCATTGACGAGGCAGGTCCAATCAGCCGGTTCAACCTCAACCGGTATAAGGGATGAAGGCTTGTTTAATTGGCTAGACAAGCAACCTTGTGAATCTGTGATATTTGTGTCATTAGGGAGTGGAGGGACTGTGTCCTTGGAGCAGATGACAGAAATGGCTTGGGGTTTGGAATTGAGTCAACAAAGATTCATTTGGGTTGTACGACCACCGGCTAGATCCGCAGATGCTGCTTTTTTCACTTCAGGTAATTTTCAAACTTACCTAATATATATCATCAAATTTTAATTGTTATCTTCATAGAAATTCTTATATATGTAATGTACTAATTTGTAGTATTTGATAAATTATTGATATTGTGTTACAATCGATACCTTCATTTACATTTAGTAATTTTATTTAAGGAAATCAAGACGATGACCCATCAACCTATTTGCCCAAAGGATTCTTGACCCGGACTCATGACGTTGGGTTGGTTGTGCCTCTTTGGGTGTCTCAAGTGGACATTTTAAGTCATCCATCAATAGGAGGATTTTGGTCACATTGTGGATGGAACTCAAGCCTCGAGAGCATGACCAATGGAGTACCGATGATGGTTTGGCCACTCTATGCGGAGCAGAGGATGAACGCTACAATGTTGACTGAGGAACTTGGTGTTGCCGTCAGATCAAAAGTGCTACCATCGAAGAAAATGGTTGGCAGGGAAGAGATAAAGGAAATGGTGAGAAAGATCATGGTGGACAAAGATGGTCAGGCCATAAGAGGTAGGGTTAAGGGGCTTAAATTAAGTGCTGCCAAAGCATGGAGCGTAGGTGGTTCGTCATATAATGCACTGTCTCAAATATCAAGTGGCAATGAAAGAAAATGCTAGGAGAGTTGGAGAATGTGAAGGCTCTCAAATATGCTTGTTGTTTTCAATAGGCATTTTAACCTAAATAATCTTGAGAATTGTCTTAACTTCTCAGTTTAGTCCTTAACAATAAAAATGAACAAACTTTATTAGTGACCAAATTGAGGATTTAGGTCAATCTTAGCAACCATTTTAGTTAAAAATCTGTTTGAATATTGTATGATGATGTATAAACATCAATAAGATATATGGCAAAATGGTGTGTATTCTCTACTATTGGGCAAATTACATGTGCAGAATAAATTTTGTTCTCTTTTTGTTCTCAATCACACCAATTGGTCTGGTCACACACACACACACACACACACACATATATATATATGGCTAACTCGCGAAAATGGTTCCTGAGATTTGCATAACTCTTCATTTTGATTCCTGAGATTTCAAATCAATATAAATGACCCTGAGATTTTCCACCATCCATCATTTTGGTCATTCCGTTAAAAACTCCGTTAAGTGTCCCAGAGCTCTTGGCCGGAAGTTTGGGCAATTTTCAAAGCTTCGTAACTCAATCGTTTCTTAACCAAATTCGACCCATAATATATCAAAATGAAGACAGGAAAGTGTAGAATAAGATTACACCTATTTGGAAGCCCAATGGTTGCGGGAGATGGTCAGAAAATAGCTGCAAAGTTGTTTGGTCCGAAGGAAAATTGAAAAACTCGCCTGAAACTAGGTAAACTTTAAACATTCATAACTTTAGTTAACTGTCAACAAAAAAGGATCATTCTCTTCGTCTCATCGAGAAGTATGATTTTCATTTTTGAATCACTTGATTTCGTTGAGTATTGAAGAAGTTATGAATATTAAAGTTTATATAGACACACACACACACACACACACACACACACACACACACACACATATATATATATATATATATATATATATATATATATATTTCCCTTTAAAAAGAAGTATCTATTTTGTTATCATACATGGATGAATATTCATGCTGCATAACTTGTGTCAGTCAATTTTTTATTTTTTTTAAGTCTGCATAACTCGGTTCAGTCAATTTTTTTTTTAGTACATTGATATTTTTTTCACTAAAAGAAGGGAGAGTTCAGTTAAGCTAAACAATGGGCATCCTAATTTAGTATCGAATTCTCTATTCATGAGATTCGAACCTAAGACCTCTCACTTCTAAGTGAAGAGGAATACCACCAGACTGTAGTACTAAGTGCCAATTTTTTTTAACAATCATGTTAAATTCACGAGAAGCAGGTAGCTTGGCAAATAGACGTAAGACCATCTCCAATAAATAGGTTTAAGTCCTAAACGAAAGGATTTAATATAAGCCTCCGTAGCCAAGCCTAATTACGTAAATATCATATCAATAAACATGCTAGAAAGACATAATCAGCTAATAGTTGCATAACTAATGGGTAATCTTAAGGTAATGTTACAACAAAATTTCAAACAAAATCTTAATTAAGGGTAGCTATCAGTTTGTTTTGGCTTTATTGGTTTGAATTTGATATACACACTAATGCAAAAGAACATATTAAAATCGGTTTTGCGGATTGTTAAATAGGTATTAGGTAAGCTTGAAAATTTCTTTGTTTTACATCGATCTTTGCTGGGCTTCACTAAAAAGATGAAATTGATTATGACCTTTATTCATACTTTCCCTATTAAAACAGACCAGTGGTGTCTGAGGGCTTGGAAATTGAGTATTGAAGCACCACGTGAACAACTTTAGACATCAAAAGCCCAAACCGTGGACAGTTCACGATTTGATTACGATCCAATTCTTTTCTTTCTTCGTTAGAACTTAGATATCAAAAGTTAGGGTAAATTACATTTTGCATCTTTAAGTTTGTGATTAATTGCAACCTTATACAACATTTTTAAAAGGGTAATGCTAGGTAAACTAAATTTGAAAACAAATTTTGTAAATTATATGATGTGGTTGTTGATAATTTGACTATTATTTAAGTTTTGATTAACATATTTATTTCTTATTGGTGACACATAATTTGGCTTGTAAATTTTATCTGCAAATTTAGTCTTCCTAGCATTACTCCCTTTATAATATTTCAACCTCATACTTTTACTTACTATTTCATTTCAATTTCGTACAGCTATCTCAATTTCTATTAGTTTCTCTATTATCTATCTAGGAAATTTTGGTTTTCCATACCTTCTATTCTCATCCAGCTATTTACTTCCTTAAGTTTCTCACTGAAAGCTGTAACCTATCTTCTAACTTTTTATTTTCCTTTTTCTTATCACTTACAGATGTCCGACATGACTAGAGATAGGCAAAATACCCATGGGTTTGGGTAACCGCGGTTACACCAATTTAAAGTTCACGGTTACGGTTATGGGTATAACTGTTTATCCATGAAATTTAAATGGGCGGTTATGAGTATTACCCGCGGTTATAACGGGTATCCATTTACCGATTTAATTTAATATATGAAAAACTAATCTTTATTTTTGTTTTTTACTTTTGTAACGAAAGTCTTCTTTGTTTATATATTGTAATTTTCAATATATAACGGTTATAACGGGTACTATATCTGCCACAGATTGTATTCCATTGCCGCGGTATGTGCTTACCAGTGACTTTAATTCATCTTTGTTTATATATTTTGTATTGAGATCATAGAGCCTTCTCGGCATGTATCCGTAGAAAGGAAAGCTATGAGGTGAAGCCTCAGTACAAGAATTGTCATATTACACAAAAACTTAAAAAACAAAATCTGGTCTGGACTAATGACAAGGTTCGAAAGAGAGTTTAGGACAGATGCATACCATCATCTGAAATAGCATGAGATGGTGGAGAAAGCCGAGCATTTGTGATTCCAGAACTAGCTAGGTTTTGTACAAACTGCTTTAAATTGATACCCGTTATAACGATGTATTGGTAAGCACATACCATGGGTATAACGAAAATTATGACAAACTTTTCTTTTATAATTTTCTAGTTGTTAAAAGAAAACATGTAGACGGGTGAAAAAGGGGCAAATGGGTAAAAAAAAAAAGGATAAACGGGTTCAAAAACGGGTAAATGGTTATGGTTAAATGGGTATACGGTTATGGATATGGTTAACCGTTTATAAACGGTTATGGGTATGGGTATAACTGTTTATGTATTACCCAATGGGTAAACGGTTATACGGGTATGAACATAAATGGTTATGGGTAAATAACCACGGTTACCCATCTACCATAACCTTTGCCCATCCCTAGACATGACAAAAGGTAGGAAAAATTTGTCAGCCTCCTTTGCTTTGTTCCTACAATTTTTTGGAACAAGTATTCATTTCAGAAGTATTTTTGTTGCCCAACTGAGCAATTATGATAGTCACTTTGGTTTGTTTTACTGATATGAATTTACAGCACATGAGAAACCTTCGACAAGCTTGCATTTGGAGGAACTGGAAGATCTAGAAAAATTTGCAGAAGAGGGGGGCAAGGTCATCATGGGCCAGGAATATGTTTCTCGGTTGCATGAGCTTAAAGCTGAATTAACTCATGCATGGCATGCCGATGATCGTGTTACATCCCTGAAATTATCAATAAAAGTACATTTTAATTGATAATTTAGCTTAACCAATTAATCTTACATGGAGAGAATTTATAATAGAAGAAAACATTAAGCATCAAACCTAGAAGACTACTTGTTGTAGTTTTTTCTTTTTTGTTCGGACATCTTGTATATACATTTTTATATATTTTATAATTAAATAAATTTTCTTGGTTTATTAATTATTGTTTAGAATTTAATTATAATATTTATTAAAAATTAAATAAAAAATATTTTTACCAAAAAAAAGGGTTAGTGCGACAAAGAAGTAACCTACGTTGTGCAAAACTACTTTGAGTGACATAGGTTACTTCTTCGTCGTGCAAACCATGTTGTGTGACAACCCGTCCCTAGTTCTATGATTTTATAAATTTTAAACGTGTGAATTTACGAAAATGCCCTGAGAGGCGAGGGTATTGACTTTCGTTGACCAACGTATAGTGAGACGTATGAAATATTCCTTTAGCGTATTTCTGTAGTACTCGACAATATGGCTGTGTAGGCGTAAGCAAAAGCGGATTGGGGTATTGATATTACCATTTATTATTTTATATATTTTCTTAAGTACCATTACATTATTTTAAGATTACCTTTGGTAAAAATTGAGGGAAAGAGAAGAAGAAACAGGGGGAGAAGGGGAAAAAGAAGAAGGGGTATTGGCTGCCCAATCAAAGAGGAAGGGAGAGAGAGCTTCGGCCAAGGGAAGGAAGAGAGAGAGTGAAGGTGACCAACCAGAGGAAGGAAAGGAGGGGAAATGAAGGAGAAAAGAAAAAGGGGAAATCGAGTTTCCCTTAACTCGTGACCCAACCCGGTGGATTCTCCCATCTCTCGCCACCTTGGACGACAAGGTTAGTGTCAAAATGACCCTTACCACAAGGCCAACCGATCCCTTTTCCATTTTCATGTGAAAATTGGGTGGAAATTTGGTGAATTTTGGGTAAAACCGTACAAGAAGGGGCGCACTGGTTGGGTTCTATTCTGCCATGATTTGAAGCTACCTCCTCCAATTACCACCACCAATAGACTCCCCTCAACCTCAGGAACAAAGCCCAAACACTTGTGGAGGCGTCGGAGTGAGCATGGAGGTCGAATCGAAGTAGCCCCTATTTAAGGTTTCCAACGGATTTATGTAAAATTGAGGTGTTTCTCAGCCTAATTGGCCTTGGTCACACGTATGAAAGTTGCTTCACTCATTGAGACCTACAATTCTGTAAATTTTAGTAATTTTTGGAAATAGTTGGATTTTTCGGCGGTTCGGGACGGCCGACCACTACCCACGGCGGCGCGTGGCCGGGGCCGTTGATGTTAATCTTAGGCTAATTAGATGTCTCGAGTTCATTTTTGGTAGTTGTATGATGTAGGTTGATCGTTGGAATCTAAATTCTCTACGTTACGTTAATAGGTCATTGTATGAATCGACGATCCAACCGTCGGATCGTCACCAAACTTTAATACGTTATAGTACGTAATATTTGAGGACCATAGGAACTTACGGGTCAGGAATCCGATATACGGATCTTCCCGAATTGGATTTGTAAGTTCATAAAATAAAAGGTTAATTGCCACTTGGTTTTGACAATTGGCAGAGATCCGACCGTTGGATCGTAATGGGACTTTAGAATGTTGTTCTAGAAGTATAATGTGGATCTTTGGAAGCAACGGATCGGAAATCTGTTATC